AAAAAAAAAAAAAAAGGAAAAGAGCAGTCAGTTTTAGATATACATTTCTATGCCTTTTCTAAAGGTTTTGTTATATTAATTTTTTGTATTTTTTTGAGTCACTCGCTGTGATATGGAATTTTTTTCCCTTCCCACTTTCCTCCAAGGACATAATATTATTGCAGGCTTTCTACTAAAAGATAAAATTACTTCCACAAGTAGTGCGAAGTCACAGAGAGATCATATTCCAGATGGAATAGTTTCTGAACAAAGAGGATGCTTTTTAAAGATTCTACTAAATGTGACTTTCAAGGGCCAGTGTAGGCAGTCTAGACGCTAAAATTACCCAGCCCATCTATGGATGGGAGGGGCTGTGGCTCTCTGGGAAGACCTCCAACTGCACACAGGGCAGCCTGCTGACAGCTGGAAAGAGCTTACTCTGAGGGTCAAACTGCAGAAACGTTAGCTTCATCTCCTGTCCTATCACCTTGACTCTCAGTGGCTTTCATATATGAAATATTCTATGGAAAAGAAAAAAGTTCTATTTATCTTGTAGTTTCAGTGTTTCAAAGTATTCTCACATTTATTGTAACAAAACATATGAAAGCATCTTGTAAATTGTAAAGCACTATGCAAATGGAAGTTGTTAGAATTGTTACTGCCTCATTTTTTCAAAAAATCCTGGGAAAGGCAGGTGTTAATACAACCCCTATCATAGGAGGAGGAAATTGGGATGAGATCCGAAGATGGTAGATCCATGTCCTTTGAGTGAATGATTTGGGGATTACAGAAAGCCAGTTAAACATTCTTTGTATCAACTGTCTTCTAACCATAAACCAGGTTTGATAATAGGTCTAATTGTGAATAGAAGGATGAGGGAAGTGACACGATTCAATTTGCATTTGCATGGACACAGAGAATACATTGTAGAAAAAGAACGCCGGTGGTAGGTCATAGGTAGTTGCAGTAGAGCAAGAGAGAAATTAGTGGGCCTGGGTTAGGTTGGTCTTCATTGGGTTTTGGAGAAATGGCAATGTTGGAGAGATATTTTGAAGCTAGAATTCATAGTTCTTGTGATGAATGTGGCGGGGGGAGGGCGGGGGGGGAGACTAAAAGAAGTCTGGCGAGGATCATGATGTCATGTCCTAAGATGCAGAACAGAGGAAGCACGGATTTAGGGAAAGAAGATAAGTTAAGTTTTGGACATGTTGGATTTTAGGTGTCAGAGGGACATATAAGAGGAGGCCAGTGAACAGTGGACATGGATGTATGAGTCTGGTATACAGGGCAAACAGGTCTTAGCTAGAAGTATAAATTTGGGAATTATCATATTGATAGTAAATGGAGATCATATTATTAAATTGTGTGAAATGGGAGGATGCTATCTTGTGAACCAGTTTTAATAATGCACTAAATGTTTTTGTATGTTTATATGTTTATTCTTCTCAAGAGTGAGTGCATGGCTTTTTTTCACATTCATAAAGGCATCAGTGACAAGCAAACAAAGTTGCAAAGAGGACCTGGGACCAAACACTGCAACACACATTTTGAAGAAATAGTCTTCACAGGATATTTTAAAGGAGTGGCCAAATAGGTGAAAGAAAAGCTAGAATCCTGTAAGTCGAGGGGCAACAGTGTTTCAAGAATATGGGTGCTGCCATTGATGTCACATAGTGCAAAAAGCTCAAATAAAAAGAGGATGGAAAGGGTCCACCGGGCTTATCTTCAAGCTACCTTGTCCAGAGTGATTTGTAATGAACTGGTGGGAGCAGAAATCTTTGTGTTGAGGGGTAAATGAGAAGTGAGAAAGGGAACCTCCTTTCTCAAGAGTCTAGACTTAAGTCATTCTGAAACTAGTTATTATAATTACTGACTAGATGGTTTGAGTAGATCATCCTGATAAACCAAAGAATTCGTTGTTTAAAGTTTTATTTTTCAAAGGATTGGTTTGGTATCATAAAGGCAAAATGTTGCTAGAGATAGCTTTTTAAAAAATAAAACTATTCAATAAAAGGATGAGGACTATGCTGGAAAAAAAAAAAGTTAATGTTCTGGTGGTTCCCAGGGGCTAGCAAGAGATTGGAGAGTGACTGCTTGAATACAGGGTTTTCTTTTGAGGGGATGAAAACATTTTAGAACTTGATGTAGATGGTGGTTGTATAATGTGAATTTACTAAATGACACTTTAAAATGATTATTTTAAAAAATAAAATGAGGGGCTGGCCCTGCTTAGGATTTTCAGGAACCATGGAAGCGGCGGCAACAGTTGGATTTTAAGCACTTTTGTGACGGTCTCCGGGTTCCCTGTGAGAGGAAAGGGGAGAATGCCACTGGAATCATCTTCCTCTTTGATGCCACTATCCTTCCCTTCTCCCTCACC